GCTCTGTGGTGATCTATGGCTATAGCTCACACAGAGTTAATGACCACCTCCCCTCCCCCATGTAAAAGTGTTCAGGTCTAGTGGTCAGCTGTTGAGGCCCAAGATGCATCCTAGAAGGAAGGAGAGAAGGTCACATCCTCCGTACCTGGTGATACCCAGGGATTCAACAGATGCGCAGGACATCAGGAAGTGCAGGAAAATCAGTAGGTGTGTGTGTGTGTTAAGAGGACCTGTTACTTTCCCCTCATTGGGAAAACACCATCTATTCTAAGACCCACTACTAATGACATTGCCACACTAGGTATCACAGTTATACCATAGCACAGCCTATGGGAGCTTTACCTTGATATCGATGTGGATATAAGTGAAAGCAGAGCTGATCATTAGTGACACTTCATTCAGGCCATTAGGCCTCAGCTCCCATGACTCGTACGGCATATTAAGGTAGGCTTCCTGGATTAGTGTGAATGTATGGAAGGCATCCATCTTAAAGGACAGCTGTCTCTGCTCGTGTGTTGTAGATTCTGCTCATGATCACATCAGTTTTCCAGTTTTTACCTGAAGAGGACAAAAAATAGAAATTTAATTTATCATAACGGCAGGTTTAGTAAAAGTCCCCACTTTACCTAATTCAACAGCAACATAAATCTACTGGAAAAGAGAGACAGTGCAAACCAAGATTGGCAACATCTTATATTCAGCATTTAAGGGGCATTTTGTTGCATTTTCATCAAAAAGGACTTTTTTTGAGCTGAAGTTTAATCCTCCCTCCCCCCTCATCAATGTGGTAGTGAAGTTTTCAAATAAAACATTTTTGTTTTCAGGACATATCTTATTTTAAAGCCAGTAAGGTCATCACTAGGTCACTATGCTTCTCTATGCAATGCAGGCAGATAATGGCCAGTAGGAGGGGCTGACAGGGTAGTGTATATAGCTTCCTAAAAACACCAACACTGACAGCCCTCTGCCCTGATGCAAGCAGCGTCACCATGCACCTAAAACATTTTTATGGTAATGGAGAGGAAGAGGGGGGGGGGGGGGGGGCTAGGCTTTCTTTTCGCAATATTGTTTTGTAAAAAATATTTTGAGACATAAAGTGCATGTGTAGTTTTGGTTTTGTAGTTTTTGTCCCATTTAAAATGAATGATGTTTCTGGTACAACGCATGGCAAGGGTTTTTTTTTTTTTTAATAACCCCATTAAACAAAAATGTTTCCATCACATCCTCTCCTGACAGGAAATGAGGTTAAATGTACTCGGTGGCAAAGACCATTAAAAACCTGTCAGAGGTTCTAACCCTTCCATACCATCCAAAATGATATAAAAAGGTTTGGCTGGAGTCTGATTTGAATACAGAAGGAATTAGATGTAGCTTTCCTACTTCGAGAAACCAACAAAATGTTAGTTATTAAATTATACATTACTTTCTGGGTCCCATCTCGCCACTTGAGGCTCTTCAAAGAATATCACATCATTTGGGACTGTAATGGAGACGCCAACTGGGGGCGAGCTGAGTCCCTCCATGTCCTTCTCTTGGAGTGATACACCGAGGCTGGTGCTGAGTAAGGACTCCTGGGGGTAGGGCTGCTTTTCAAGACCCCCTTCCATCAACTGCAGGGAGAGAACCAATAGACATTTCATCAACAAAAAGAAAAATCATTTACTGTAAAGAATCCTGTCCTCCACTCATGTATGGATCATCTTTTCTGATTGTACTTTGTTCTTAGAAGTTTATCAGCCAAATCTTAATGTTCGCCTTCCACTGAGACCTCTTAGCCTATTTATAAATTTAGTTGCCTGTCACTGTAGCCTCTCTGAATCTCCTACTACCTACCTTTGATGAGTGGTCCAATGTGTGCAGTAATGTATGCATTTGTGTGATGGGACACCGATAGAAGAATTAGAGAAGCCTAAAGTCAAAATTAAAGGTCTGCTGCCTAAAAAGCCAACATGTTTTGTAGGTCACAACCCCCCCCCCCCTCTTCAGGGCTGACTGTTATACTCACCCCTCCTGGGATCCAGAGCTAGGACCTCTCCAGTGTGCAGTCGCTGGCACCTCTGGATTTCACTCAGAGTGCTGATTCTGTGGCCAAACAGGAGGCAGCCCTCTTATATTTATTTATTACAAGTACTTATATAATGCTGTCAATTTACGTATATATATATATATATATACACACACACACACATACATAGACACATATACTACTCAAAAAAAATTAAAGAAACACTTTTTAATCAGCATATAGCATTAAGACAGTTAAACTCCTGGGATATTGATCTGGTCAGTTAAGTAATAGAGGGGGTTGTTAATCAGTTTCAGCTGCTGTGGTGTTAATGAGATTAACAACATGTGCACTACATGGGCAACAATGAGACGACCCCCAAAACAGGAATGGTTTTACAGGTGGAAGGCCACTGACATTTTTTTTCCCTACTCATCTTTTCTGGCTGTTTTTAGTTTTGCATTTGGCTAGGATCAGTGTCAGTACTGGTAGCATGAGGTGATACCTGGACAGTACAGAGGTTGCACAGGCAGTCCAACTCCTCCAGGTGGCACATCAGTACTTGCCATTACCAGGTTTGCTGTGTCTCCCAGCACAGTCTCAAGAGCATGGAGGAAATGCAATGCAATTTCAGCAAAATGGACTAGCCTGCTGCATAATTGTTTTCACTTTGATTTTTGGGGTGTCTGAATTCAGTCCTTTGTAGGTTGATAATTTTCATTTCCATCAAATGATGGGGCATCCTTATGTTCCTAACATATTACTCAGTCCATATCAGTATAGATATCCAGCAATATATCTATATAATACATTTGCATCAGTCCCTGCCCTCCAGGAGCTTTCAATATCAGGCCCCTAACCCACATTCATACCTATACATGATTGGTGCGGGCTTAATTGAAAGAGCTATGCTTGCTGTATGAGCAGCAGGTTGCTACGCCTAGCTGAGCCCTGTGCTTCTAAGTTTCTGTTTTCACTGTACCTTCCGTGTTTCAGTGTTCCTCCAATCCTCAGGTCCCCTCAGTCTGCTCCAGTGTACCCCTGTGTCTCCTTGTGTTCCCCTGTCCCTCTAGTGTATCTCTGTGTACACCTGTGCCACCAGCCCACCTCCATGTCTCCATGAGCTACGCCTCCAGTGCCCCCTGTGCGACTCCGTGACTTCTGTGTCTCCAGTGTGCTTAGCAGATGCCTGGCCTGCTACACTCCTCTGACAGTACCAACAGCTACCTGGTCTGTTTATGGAGTGCAGCAGACCTGTGAGTTGCACTGAACTCTTGTAATGAGCGCAATAGGATAGAATATTCGCAGATACCAAAACAGTGATAGGACCAGGGCCACTGTGAACTAAGACTGCTGGCCCCTCCTGACTTTAAAACTTTTTTTTCTACAACACGCACTTTTACTCTTAAAGGAAAGCTCTACTCAGATAAGAATATAGGCTTCCAATGCTGATCTCTTGTTCTGAAAATCTTAGTTGCCTGGAGTCATACTGATCCTGTGGCTTCAATAAATTCCACACCTGCAGGAAGTATGCAAATCTGGAATAATGAATTTGAGTGCACACTTACTTTTCTTCCTGCATGCTTTCTCTGGGTCAGTTTCTTGATAAGCATCAAAGCTAGAGACAGCTAGGAAATTGGCGTTTTCCAAAGGACTTCAGCAGTGGCAGCTCCTTATATCTGGCTGCACAATGGTCCTTTATTCATACATCCACACCTTACTGTGTAAGCGGAATTCTGGACTCCCTTTAAAAAATAAAATATGTGCTACAGCACTTAGTACATTTGCACTACAGTTTTGTCTTTGTTGAACATATACCTGTTGATCCTGCCAGCAAGGTCCACCCTATGCAGCTTCCTGTGATGGGGTGACAACACTGCTGCACTGACCCTGAATTAAGTGCAGAGTTGTCACTACTCTGTAGGCTGTGGGATGAGAAGATGTTGTAGGGGGTGTGGCTATCAGCATTGTCACTACTGATTCACAAACCTGTAGCTTGTCAGTCTGCACCTAGTCACACCTAGTCCTAATACTTTCTGGATTGACAGCACTGCTTCTTTTGCTGAAACCTTCCCGCTGTGAGCTGCAGTGTCTGGGAGGGAGCATAGGAGACACAAATGAAGGAGGATTTTCCTCAGTCAGGAAAGGTAAAGGAAGTTTTTTTTGTTTATTTTTTGAGGTTTGTGTACCATACAGCAATAGGATTTGATACTTTTTAAGATTGTCATATTGAAGCCTTTAGCTGTTATTTAAATAAATAAAAAAGATTTGGAGAAAATGGAGGTAAGTTTAAAGTCATTGTAAAGGCTCAATTTTTTTCAATATTGCACAGAGCAGCTCTGAAGCTCCTCTTCTGGGGCCCCGAGCTGGAGCTCTCGGCTCCTCCTCTTCGCCGTGTGCCCCCATAGCAAACCACTAGCAAGGGGACACTTGTGCAGGCTCGATTTCGAGCCAGGCTGTGTGCGTCTATTGAGACAAACAGTATGGCTTTGCTGCACCCCCAACTCCATCCTCACAGAATTTAATGGACAGCAGGAGCCAATGGCTTCTGCTGCTACCTATGAGTCCTGTGAGGAGAGAGAGAGCAGCACCACTGCTTTAGGGCACAGCGCTGGATTGAGATCGGGATCAGGTAAGTATTTAGGGGGGCTGGGGAAGCTGATCAGGGAAAGTTTTTTACCTTAATGCAGAGTAAAAAACCTTTAGCCTTTACAATCACTTTAAGTCAGATGTAGAATGAAGGGGAATTTCCCTTTGACTAGCTAACTCCTGCTATGTTCTGCAAAGTTGTGGATCATTTTAATGTAATAAGAAAGATGTGTGTTGACCATAATAAAATAGTAGGGAAAATGTGAAAAATATAAATTCTTTCCATAACATACATAGAGCATTTGCTTTCCACACACAGATCTCCTCTCTATCAGAACTGCAGACTACACAAATGCCATCACTGGTAGAATTACCCTCTCACCTGTACCATGCTCCAGCCATTCACTTGCTTACACTGAGGGGGCAGCACCAGGACATCAAAATAGTAAACTCCACCCAAACTCAGGAACTGACGGAGATCCACTACATCATCCTCCAGTATGTCGTCGGGGGTCAGCTGGTTTTGGACAGGCGATGGTGACTGACCTACACAGTAGAGGATTTATTTAAGGGAGGCTTCCAAATGGCATTTAAAGCTGAACTCAATGAACAGTGAGCATTGTCTAAGTATAAGAGACGTGCCACACATAACCTGGGCAGAGAGCAGAGCTGTTGGTGCGACCCAGCAGTTTTCACCCACTACAGGCTACGTACATTGAATCCAAAGACTGACCATCCCACCTACATATTTGTTGAACAACACAGATTTAGCACTTGATGAATTATTATTGCAGGGATTCAGAAATGTCATAATTTGGTGCAGATTAGGGGAGTTAGAGCATACTGTACATACAGAAGAGTCATAGCTTGCTTGAAAATATATGATTTGCAGTTAACATGGACAGTCTTTTTTAATTTCCCAAAAACTATCTAAAGAACGGATTTTGCTGAATAGTTTTCTTTTGTATTGTGGTACACTATACTGTATGACCAGCAGTCTACACAGACATATAGGGGTTGATTTACTAAAGGCAAATATACTGTGCACTGCAAGTGCAGTTGCTTTAGATCCGAGGGGAAACTCTCAAATGAGGCGAAGCTCTGTTAATTTCTTTCATTCAATCATGTACAAGCAAAAATGTGTTTTTTGTTATTTTCCTTGCATGTTCCCCTCAGATCTAGAGCAACTGCACTTTTAGTACACTTACCGTGCAAAGCCTATTTGCCTTTAATAAATCAACCCCATAGTGTAGTTCAATAGAGAGGGAAAACAACATTCAAAAAAATCTTCAGATAGTTTTTGAGAAAATAAAAAGACTTTCCATGTTATCTGCAAATTGGGGTGATGTGGTACTCCTATTTGTAGGAATATATAAAAAAAAATATCTAAAATCTACCTGTGTACCTTTGCATCCAAATGTAAGTGAAGATCAGTTTTGGATGGTCAGACCCTCTTATGGGTAAATCTTTGTTTATTGCATTTTAAAGGGTACATATAAAAAGAAGAAAGGAAAAAAAAAAAAAAAAACATAGCACAGTTTCAATATTTCTTATGATGATACATATATGATATGGGATATGAGCTGGTTACAGCTGGGCTTTAAAATTTCTGTGTAGTGATCCATTAAGGTTCTGTGCATAGAGAGTATGTGTGTCTGAATTGAAGGTGAGAGGTTCAGGTATTCAGTGATGGTCCCATTAACTAAGGGGGTGGTGTGTCATGTTGTGAACATGTAAAGATGAGGGGCATGAGGGTAATAAGTTCAGGTGGGGTGAATGGAGTGTATCCAACCTGGGACAAGACTCATTGCATTGTAGGATATTACTCACAGTTGGCTGATTGAATGGGGGTAGTGGTAAAGGATGTGTAATACACTATATTATCAAAAGTATTGGGGCGCCTGCCTTTACACGCACATAAACTTGAATGGCATCCCAGTCTTAGTCCGTAGGGTTCAATATCGAGTTGGCCCACCCTTTGTAGCTATAACAGCTTCAACTCTTCTGGGAAGGCTGTCCACAAGGTTTAGGAGTGTGTCTATGGGAAGGTTTGACCATTCTTCCAGAAGCGCATTTGTGAGGTCAGGCACTGATGTGGGATGAGAAGGCCTGGCTCGCAGTCTCCGCTCTAATTCATCCCAAAGGTGTTCTATTGGGTTGAGGTCAGGACTCTGTGCAGGCCAGTCAAGTTCCTCCACATCAAACTTATTCATCTATGTCTTTATAGGCCTTGCTTTGTGCACTGGTGCGCAGTCATGTTGGAACAGGAAGGGGCCATCCCCAAACTGTTCCCACAAAGTTGGGAGCATGAAATTGTCCAAAATGTCTTGGTATGCTGACACTTTAAGAGTTCCCTTCACTGGAACTAAGGGGTCAAGCCCAACCCCTGGAAAACAACCCCACACCAAAATCCCCCTCCACCAAACTTTACACTTGGCACAATGCAGTCAGGCAAGTAACGTTCTCCTGGCAACCGCCAAACCCAAACACGTCCATTGGATTGCCAGATAGAGAAGCGTGATTGGTCACTCCAGAGAACACATCTTCACTGCTCTAGAGTCCAGTGGCGACGTGCTTTACTCCACTGTATACAATGTTTTGCATTGCACTTGGTGATGTAAGGCTTGGATGCAGCTCCTTGGCCATGGAAACCCGTTCTATGAAGCTCTCTATGCTCTGTTGTTGTGCTAATCTGAAGGTCACACAAAGTTTGGACGTCTTTAGCTATTGATTCTGCAGACAACTAGCGACTTCTGCGCACTGTGCGCTTCAGCATGCGCTGACACCGCTTTGTCATTTTACGTGGCCTACCACTTCATGGCTGAGTTGCTGTTGTTCCCAGTTGCATTCCTAGGTGCTTGATTTTATACACCTGTGGCCATGAAGGGGATGAGAACACCTCAATCCAATGATTTGGAGGGGTGTCCCAATACTTTTTGGCAATATAATGTATATTATATTCTTTATTGAGGGGGAGATGGAAATGTGGGGCCATACCGCCCACTGCATATGAAAGAGATTTAGTTTGTCATTGTTAAATGCTAAGAGTTCCCCCATCGGTATGATGTAATTAATGGTACTGATCCATAATAACAGCAGAGGTGTAGTGGTCATCTTCCAGAACAGCCTGACTCTTTAAATATTTATTGCTATAATGCACTGACCTTCTGTTAGGTCCCCAAGCTGGCTCTCTGTTGTCTGGTCAGCCTCAATGACGTTCTTCTCCTGGAGCTCAGCTCCATTCTCAGTGTTTTCTCTCTGAGACATGGAGCTGAGGGTACTCTAGACCACACAAAGAATAAATCATATTAGTCTGTGAGGAGCTGTCATCACACAGCAGACAGAATACATTCATATAGAAATCCAAACAATATCAATTTTCCTTTCTGGATCATACATCCATCATCAAATCATCATGTAAGAATTCACTTTGTGTCTTGTATGTTTTATGTTGCATAATGATATGCACGTCTAATTATTATCTTTTTTTACGAGGTTTTTTTGCTATTTGCACAAAATGTACAGCATAAAAGTACATAAAACATGTTCCATAATATATGAATCTCAATACAAAGCTACATCTACAATCAATAATCAATATCCAGTTGCAATATGACATTCCACAGTGCAGTTTAACTGGGTTCCCAGAGAGATGGAATCAGCAGAACCACTTCATATATACAGTATATAGCATTGATGGCCAACACAATTACATACAGTTTTTTTTGTTATGTAAGGAAAAAGAAAGGGGCTGTGCTTAGCCATCTGAAAAGAATCTCACCAACATACAAAGAAAAGAAAGAAAAGTAAAACTAAACCTTTCAAAGTGAACCACTACCCCCTGCTTCATGTCATTGTACTAGCATCAGTACTTTACTTTCTCCCAGTACAACAAAGAAGTACAGTTACATAATAGACCAACGGTAATATCCCACGCATTATACCAATTCTACCCCTCAAGGGCATTCCTCTACCGTGTCTGAAGACTCTACCCATCTAGACCATATTCACATACATTTTGTCGGGCATCCCCTAGCCTCATAGATCATCTTGTATAAAAGGGGCCATTAAAATGAACTTTTTTTTTTTCAGGCTGCCAAGCCAAGCACATCTGTTCGTATCTAGTTTAACACAATCAGATTATGTACATAAACAAACAGTAGTCTCAAAAAAGTTTTTGTGGCATTATCCAAAATACCATCTTCAATTACCCCCAGAAGGCCAACTAAAGGACTACATATATTTGGAAGATCAAGTGTCAGCTATAAACTGAGTAACTTGTGACCAGAGTGGCTGAACCTTACCAAAGTCCCACATCATACGAAGGAAGGATCCCTCAGTTGCTACTATAAACACTTATGACGGGTTGCAGTGTCTCATTTTCCCATCTTGAATAAACACAATGGTGTATAATACAAATGGTGTAAATAGTGTAGCTATATCATTTTATCCATGGAGGAGGTGACAGTATCCACATATGAACTGAGTACCTCCAACCAAATCTCCCCTGTCAGGTCTGGTATAAGTGCACTCCACCATTTCCTAGTCCTTTGACATCGTCTATCATCTATCAAAGTCAGTGCGGAATAGGAACTAGATACCAATTTATTATGTTCTGGTCTTAATAGGAGAGTTTCCAATTTAGTGTTAGAGAGAGATACCATATGCGCACCAAATTGTCGCAATGCGGCATGCTGGAGCTGTACATATTGAAATCTCCTTGAAGAAGGTTTACCCCACTCATTCTGCATTTGTTGAAAGGATTTAAACACTCCAGACTCATATAAGGAATGAAGGTACTTAACTCCAGAATATGCACATAGACCTTCGTCTAATTTTAAAAATTCACCTAAGCACGGATTATACCAAAAGTGGGGCATTTGGACAGAGGCCTAGAGATATGTCAGAGATGTGTTTAATGCGCAGCTTTAGTATACTCCTAGAAACTTTTAATATGGTCATACCCTCAGTAGTGGGGACCTCACCTCTGTAGAAAAAGTTCAGCAACACTTCGTAAGAGGAAGCCACTTCTGCTTCAACCATTATTCAACTGGAGGAACATTCGCCAATGTGTATACATGGTTTGAGATGCAAAATAATAAATGCGAAGATCTGGTAATGCGAAACCACCTCTACTAATGAGGAGTTGCAAAATTTCCAGGGAGACTCTAGGCACTTTGAACCCTACAAAAAGGAACTGATCAAAGAATGAATGTACTTAAAAAGCTGTTTAGGAATGTGTATTGGTGTTGGAAAGATTTTAGAGAACTTCAGCAAATAAATCATCTTGAAAAAGTTTATCCTGCCCAACAGTGTTAAAAGAAGATCCCTCCACTTTAGAGGCCTTTCTTTGAATGATCTAATAACAGGCGAAAGATTATCATCCGAGAATGAGGCTAGTGGGAGCTGAATATTAACCCCAAGGTATTTAAAGTTATCCAATACAGAAATAGGACATAGAGAAGGAGATAGCAAATTTGGTTGTTTATCAAGGTTAAATAGCGTCAATTTAGCCCAGTTAATGCGGAATCTGAAATAATCTCCAAATTCCTGGATAAGCGAGAAGGCTGCAGACAGCAGAGTCTGGATCATTTAGGTATAATAGCATATCATCTGCATACAGTGATACACGCTCCTTAAATTCCCCTATACATAGGCCTTTAAAATTAACATCCTTTCTCAATTTCACAGCCAATGGCTCAATGGCAAGTGCAAATAAAGGGGGGGGGGGGGGTAAAGGCAACCCTGCCTGGTTCCACGATAAATCGGAAATGGGTCTAAAATAAGTTGACCCTTTCTCGAACCATAGGTTTCACCCAGGAGGTGAATGTGGATCCAAAATCATATTTGTCCAGGAGTGGGAAAAAATATGCCCATTCCACAGAATCAAATGCTTTTTTTTGTATCTAACGATGCAATGAACGATGAATCTGGGGTTTCATGTACAGTATATGTCCTTTTTGAGAAACAAAACATGCTAATAATTGCATTTGCCAACCCCCCATCAAACTGTTTTAGGTAATGTTTGGCTTTGAGAAGACTGGAGCTGTATATGAAAACCATAAGCTAGAAAATAGTTTATGAGCAGAACTCCACGTATGAAAATCTTCAGTGAGGGACACAGGCAGTGCTGGAAAAAGGTCCTATGGCACCCAGACATAAAGGCCAAAGTGTGTTACCCCATGAACAGAGGGCAACTTCTGAAGCAAAGGTTGCAGGACCTGACCTTTTTGCCTCCACTCCTCCTGCTGAAGCATCCGAGGTAGCCAGCCTTCTGCCTACCCCTCGGCTCAGCCCTGAATATTGGTATGTATTAGGTTTGGAATGCTGATTGACAGGCAAGAGCAACATGAGATGAGTTTTGCAGCAGGTAGTAGTTGTTCCTAATATACAAGTCATACAGTGCCAATCCAATACCTAACTCACCTTTCTCCCCTCAGACTGCACTTCGTCCTCCATTGTAGCAACATTTCCTGGCTCTGATTTTTCCTCCACCTCCTCATCAGTTGGTTTCCATTCCTCAACCCCACTGTCTGGTCTCATGGTCTCAGCAGCCTTGTTCTCCTCGGTCTCCTTAATGTGCGGCAGAAAGGTAGGACTCTGACAGGACAGGTGGTCGTAGCTGGTGTGCAGGATACGGACCGCGATGTTGCTTAATGCTAGTGGTTTTGGCAAGTCAAAAGAGATGCCTTCTTCCTCAAATTTGTAACCTCTGAACCTACAAGGATGAGAGGAGGCTCAGTGCTATGCTCATCATACATCTGGAAACTTTGTAGCACTTCACTTTCAATTTGTTGGAGTGTGCTACATTTTCATGTATTAGCACAGCTCTGAAAAAATGATCTGATGTACAGGATCTGTATCGGTGGCTAATATGGTAGTGAGATTATTTTGGTTACCACAGGACATTTGTTGTCACAACTGAACGCCCCTTAAATCCAGTGGTGCAAGACTACAGGGCAGAATGTTTATGGTAGAAGGTTATCAGTGAAATATCCCATCACCTTGCTAAGCCTTAATGCATAGCACCCTGCAGAGTTTTATGTGGGTTGTGTCTGCCCAAAAGGGCATGTAAATCTACAAAACACCCTCCAGTGCTGATGATGATCATATCTGAACACCTTCGCTGGAAGCTCACAATGGCTCTTGGGTCTGAGGTATCCATAAATTGAACTATAGATAAATCCTTGGAAACCTGGGACCCGAGAGCTATTTCAAGATTACGGTGGTGTGCAGAACAGGCGTGTCCTGGAGAGTCAGAGAGGGAGAAGGTTTGTAATATATCTACAAAGCAATTTTTGACCAACTGCAAAGCTAGCCATTCTGTTCTAATAAGTGGATATATAGTTGGGGCTGGAGGAAGCTGACGTCCTCAGATAGGGAGGAGCAGTTTGATGTTGTAGAGTACTTCTGGAGAACCATACTGTTCCCCAAGCAAAGTCTGCTGATATCTAACTGGCTGCCATAATTCCAGCACATGACTTATATGCACCAGTTTGCCATTCAGCCTACAGCACTGTCGCCCGGTCAGGAGTATGAAATTGTATGCTGTAAGTGTGACAGTGTGTGATTGTCATACCTTGGGTTCTTGTTAAGATTAGCCCAAATACATAGTTTGACATTTTTATTTGTTATGACCTTCTGCATATTTCCCGTGTCGATGTCAGACAGAGATGCTGCATTCTGGAAGCAAAATACAAAAAGATCAGTTGGAAAGTCAACAGAGCTATGGCTGTGAACTGCTCCTTGCTGCTTGCCTGGAGTCAGGAAGCTTCATGTTTCATGGAGATAGAGCTTTTTTATAAGTAATGCTATAAACGGGAAGTATTAGGTACATTGTGAAGTTTTAAAAGCTGCCTATATCCCTGAAATCAGGAGAGAGTGGAAGTTGGGATAGAAAAAGAGAAAAGGGGGGAAAGAGCTAAAGAAAAAAGTAAGAAAGGAGGGAAGAGAGAAAAGAAGAAAGAAGGGAGAGGAGGGTGGGTGTGTAAGTGTGTATGTAGGGGAAGAGAGAGAGGGGGGAATAGAGAGAGAGCAAAGGGGGAGGGAGATAGAGAAAGAAAGGAGGGAAAGAAGAGAGGAGAGAAAGAAAGGGGGGTGGAGAGAAAGGAAAAGAGAAAGAAAAAAAATATTGGTACTATAAAAATGCAAGAACTCGATAGATATAATTCCCCTTTTTGTATTTTACATTGTATTGGTATGTTTTGCACTCTAGTGAGAATTTTTAGCCTCTGTGTCACAACTCTAACACCATAAACACTAGGGAGGCCTAATACACACACACACAAATGTTATTAATATGTCTACTTCAATCCACACCTTCAGGAGATGCTCAGTGGCATCATCAAATTTTTGTTGCAATAGACTCTGCAGCTCCTGGACTGTCTGGGTGTACTGTGCAGCATCACTCTCTGCCAGATCCTCAGTAGGAGTGTCATGAAGGAGGAACTCCAACTCTTCAATCAACTAAAAAAAGGACAAGATCATTACTCACACTTCATAAGGGTCTGTTCATTTTTATACCCTCCAAATGAGCTTCTTCTACTGTCTGAATCCCACAGTCCAGCACAGACACAGAGTTAGTAATAACACCCCCATTCATTGAAACCTAAATCTGAGGTCACATGTTGCTATAGCCAAATAGCAACCATTTTCAACACACATCACTAAGAGAGCTACAATGCTTAAAAGACATAATGAGGGGAATTGATCAAAACTGGAGAGGATCTGTAGCAGCTGTGCACTGCAATCGATCTGCTTCTATGCTTCATTTTCAAAGCTTACCTGAACAAGCCAAAGATAGAAGCTGATTGGTTGCCATACACAACTGCTCCGAATTCTGTCCGCTCCAGTTTTGATAAATTCCTCCCAATGCCCTCTATTTAAAACAACCAGCCAAATAATGGCTTTTCATTTTAAAACACTTTGCCTGTTTTTCCTGCTATAATCTACTCACAAATATAGTAAATGTAAAAGTTTGAAAACTAAAACTGATTTGCTGAAGTGAAAAAAGGTGAGAAACCCTGCATTTTTAGATTGTTTTCTAAATGGTAGCAAGGCATGCAAATTGTGTGTGTTTAATGAAGGTTTCACACTGTATCATATAGTGAAGCTCTGTATACCGGTCAGGCCAGATTCAACATACGAGACTGGGACAACTGAACACTCACACTGAGGATCAGATTGCTCTTGTTCAGCACTGACTGGAAGTCTTCTTTTGTCTCTTTACTCCATAGGCTCATGAAGCTGTTGATTTCCTGGCATACAGAAGGATCTGGACTACCGTCACAGAGCATGTAGCGATCCCACTGTAAAAGGAAACACATTAAGTAACAATGAGTTGTCCCAGCAATTACAATAAAATGTAAGTGGTCCACTGAATATATTTGCTTTTGTCCTTTGCAAAAAAGAATCTTCTTTCAACCTCTCTTTTATCTAGATGATGACTACATATATCTGTTATGTGCTGTGTTCAAGTCTAAATTCAACTAAAACATTTAGATAAAGTAAAAAAAGGAGAAGTACCTTAGATTTTTAATACTGTTTGCATCCTTTGTTAGTCAGCTAATGTTACCTCTGTACCCTGGTGAGGATGGTTGAGCACAGAGTGACCAGATACTGACAGATCTGAACCTAGAAGTGCTCAGAGCTGAGCGCATCCGGGTTCATACAAAGCAGGAGAGATCCATTCTGACACCATCCATAATGCTCTCAGGCACCCAGAAAGGAAAGAGGGGGGCTGCCTGAATCACTTCACCTACATACCTGGGCAGTTAGGAGTAAAAATCTGTTTACATACCAACGCTGATGCTGGTATCCTCTATTAGTACACTAATGTCACCTCTGTACCCTGCTGAGGCTGTCTGAGCACAGAGTGACCAGATACTGAGAACTCTGAACCTAGAAGTACTCAGAGATGAGCGCTTCCAGGTTCATACTAAGCAGGGGAGATCCATTCTTACACCAGCCATAATGCTCTCAGGCACCCAGAAAGGAAAGAGGGGGGCTGGCTAAATCACTTCTCCTACATACCTGGGTAGTTAGGAGTAAAAAGTATGTTTACATACCAGAGCTGATGCCACTGTTATAGTTTCAGCATCTGCAGCAAAAGGGAAAAAGCCCAATTCCAGCAACTACTTTCTTTTAGGTAGAGTGGGGAAGGGCTAAGTCAGTGTTAGGTTTACATTGCCATCAGTATCAATTTTTGGGGATGGTTTCCTTTCACTTCCTGTTAGGAGAGGATGTGATGGAATTCTCTATGAAGACACAGTAACAAAAAAAAAACATTTTAACAGAGTGGAGAGGATTAGAACCTCTAACATTCATTTTTTTATTGCTGTCCATGTCCCAGTCAAATCCCGCACCATCTATTTCCTATGTGGGTGTCACAGAGACAGGAAGTAAAAGGAAATCCCCACAGTGGGGGCACAGACAAGAAACAAAAATCTTAGAGAATTTTTGATTTTTTTTCACGGAATCCAAACATTTTATATATACACATTTTAATCAGAGTAAAGCATCAAGTCAATTAAACTCCTGGACTATTAATCTGGTCAGTTAAGTAGCAGAGGGGGTTGTTAATCAGTTTCAGCTGCTTTGGTGCTAATGAAATTAACAACAGGTGCACTAGATGGGCAAAAGTGAGATGACCCCCAAAACAGGAATGGCTTTACAGGTGGAGGCCACAAACACTTTTTCGTTACTCATCTTTTCTGACTGTTTTTCACTAGTTTTGCATTTAGCTAGGGTCAGTGTCACTACTGGTAGCATGAGGTGATACCTGGACCTTAGAGAGGTTGCACAGGCAGTCCAATTGCCAGAAGGTTTGCTGTGTCTCCCAGCAAAGTCTCAAGAGCATGGAGGAGATTCCAGGAGACAGGCGGTTACTCTAGGAGAGCTGGACAGGGCTGTAGAAGGTTCTTAACCCATCAGCAGGACCGATATCTGCTCCTTTATGCAAGGAGGAACAGGATAAGCACTGCCAGAGCCCGACAAAATTACCTGCAGCCGGCCACTGGTGTGAATGTTTCTGACCAAAGAATCAGAAACAGATTTCATGAGGGTGGCCCGAGGGCCCCACGTCCTCTAGTGGGCCCTGTGCTCACTGTCCGGCACCATAGAGCTCACTTGGCTTTTGCCATTGAACACCAGAATTGGTAGGTTCGCCACTAGCACCCTGTGCTTTTCACAGATGAGAGCAGGTTCACCCTGAACACATGTGACAGACGTGAAAGGGTCTGGAGAAGCCGTGGAGGATGTTAAGCTGCCTGTAACATTGTTCAGCATGACTGTTTTGGTGGTGGGTCAGTGATGGTCTGGGGAGGCATATCCATGGAGGGACGCACAGACCTCTACAGGCTAGACAATGGCACCCTGACTGCCATTAGGTATCGGGATGCAATCCTTGGACCCATTGTCAGACCCTACGCTGGTGCAGTGGGTCCTGGGTTCCTCCTGGTGCACGACAATGCCCGGCCTCATGTGGAGAAAGTATGCAGGCATTTCCAGGAGAATGAAGGAATTGATACCATTGAGTGGCTCCCATGCTTGCCTGCCCTAAATCCAATAGAACACCTCTGGGATATCATGTTTCGGTCCATCCGATGCCACCAGGTTGCACCTCAGACTGTCCAGGAGCTCACTGATGCCCTGGTCCAGATCTGGGAGGAAATACCCCAGGACACCATCCGTCATGTCATTAGGAGCATGCCCTGATGTTGTCAGGTATGCATACAAGCACTTGGGGCCATACAAACTACCGAGTACCATTTGAATTGCTGCAATGAAATTTCAGCAAAATGGACTAGCCTGCTGCATCATTTTTTCAGTTTTATTTTCGGGGTGTCTTTGAATTCAGTCCTCTGTAGATTGATCATTTTCATTTCCATCAAACGATGGGGAATACTTCCGTTCCTAACACGTTACCCAGTCCATATCAGTATAGGTATCCAGCATGATATTTTTCCCCATTGAGATCTGATGTGTTTTCAAACTGTTCCTTTAATTTTTTGGAGATATATATATATACACACTGTATATTCACTGCGGTTAGGCTTCAATAATACTCTCTTTAAAAATGCAGCTGGATAGCATTTAAAAGGGTGTTAATAACTGAGTGAACCAACCAATCAAAATGTTACTGAGTATAGCCAACTTTATATGCTTTGATAAGAACCTTAGCTCGTGTGCGCAGGTCCCTCTTCCAGTGAGCTGCGGCCTCCAGCTTCTCATCAATCAGCAGACGATATTCTCCTAGTTCCTCCTCGCGGTGCTCTAGTTGCTTTCGGGAGAGATTAGCAGTAATTTATTTGGGTTTTACATGGCACACAGACACAGTGAAGGGGGTGAATAAGGTTCAAGAGGGCAGTATTTTCAATATGAAACCAAAATCAAGAACACGGGACGTGACCTTAACCTAACTGGAGAAAAGTTCAAAACTAATCTCAGAAAGTACTATTTTACTGAAAGAGTAGTTGATGCTTGGAATAAACTTGCAGCAGAGGTAGTGAGTCAGTCAACAGTAAATAGCTTCAAACATGCTTGAGACAAGCATAGATCTATACTCAGACAAAAAAGTTAACAAAAAAAAAAAACAAAAACAAACAGAAAAAAACAGGCAGATTCGATGGACCACTCTTTTTTTCTGCCGTCACTCTTCTATGTTTCTCTGTATTCATTAAAAAACTGCAAGGAAAACTGACGGACTGTAAATCATAACCATAATCAAAATCATCATGTAGTGTCTGCTGAGGTTAGCTCATCAAAAGATAACTTCTGATTGGTTGCTATGACTTACTAAAGTTTGTACATTGCTCAGGGTGGATTCACATCATACACAAACCTTTATGTCTACAACCACATGCACCTCTACATCTTGGGTATGGACTCAGAGGATCACCAAGCTCAGATTACCTTCGCCTCTAGGAGCTCAATCGCTTCCCTCTCCAGACGTTCTTTCTCCAGGCGAGCGGCCTCAATCTGCTCTGCCAGTAATCGAGCTTCTTCTGGAGGGAGGAATGATTGCATTTAAGATAGCTGCATTTTCATCCATTTAATTCTTCACATAGACAAGACCCCAACATTTTCCTAATGGTTTTAGAAACTTTGGCTGTAGAAACTCTATTGTGAATATAAATAGGGTGAACTCTGCAAAGGAGTCACTTCACATAAAAATACTTTTATAAAGGTGTCAGACAGATAGCTAAATACACACCTGAAACACAGATACAGAAATTGCTTTACCTACCAAATTGTACATGATCCCAACATTCCTGCTTCATAATGAGAGAAGGGTGACAACAGAGGCAGACTCCAAGCTCCAACCCCACCTTCTGGATTAATAAGTAATAACAACAAGACAGGTGAACCCACCCTAAGCTCTCCTTTCTGTAATTCCAAAACACTCCCCTTCCCACCTACCGGTTTACAGATTGATTGCTACCAATGCAAGTCTGATTTGATATTTAAACTGGTGTATGGTATTTCAACAACAAGACAAATTCTGGGTAATTATTCTAGCTGAGCTAAAAAAAAAAAAAAATAGGTCTTGGCTTTCAAAGACGTCTCTGAAATGAGGACACTGTGCAAAGAACATTGGATTGTGTTATAACAACCTTCCTCCCTCTGTTTCCGCTCTTCCTCTTCTTTTTGTAGCCTCAGTTTCTCTGCCTTGCTCGGCTTTCCTTTCTTCTGGGAGGTGGCTGAAGTCCCTTTTGATGACTAAATGAAAAAAGCAAGTTTTAAACCCAAAATAATAACTATGCAAGAATAATATCGGACAGGAGGAAGTTAGAAGATAGATAGATATATAGATAGATAGATATTCTGTTTCATATCTGAACAACAATATATATACTGTATTTTTCGCTCCATAAGACGCACCTGACCATAAGACGCACCTAGGTTTTAGAGGCAGAAAACAGGAAAAAAAAAAATTCTGAACTAATGGACTGCAGACATAGTACAGGAGATGACCAGAGACTGCGGACACAGTACAGGAGATGACCAGAGACTGCAGACATAGTACAGGAGATGACCAGAGACTGCGGACATAGTACAGGAGATGACCAGAGACTGTGGACATAGTACAGGGGATGACCAGAGACTGCGGACATAGTACAGGGGATGACCAGAGACTGCGGACATAGTACAGGGGATGACCAGAGACTGCGGACATAGTACAGGAGATGACCAGAGACTGCGGACACAGTACAGGGATGACCAGAGACTGTGGACACAGTACAGGGATGACCAGAGACTGTGGACACAGTACAGGGATGACCAGAGACTGCGGACAGTACAGGAGATGACCAGAGACTGCGGACAGCACAGGGATGTCCAGAGACTGCGGACAGCACAGGGATTACCAGAGACTGCGAACAGCAAAGGGATGACCAGAGACTACGGACAGCAAAGGGATGACCAGAGACTGCGGACAGCACAGGGATGACCAGAGAGTGCGGACAGCACAGGGATGACCAGAGACTGTGGACAGCACAGGGATGACCAGAGACTGCGGACAGCACAGGAGATGACTAGAGACTGCGGACAGCACAGGGATGACCAGAGACTGCGGACAGCACAGGGATGACCAGAGACTGTGGATAGTACAGGAGATGACTGCTGACCTTTGGGGAGGTGGGGAGCGGGTACCTGAATTTGACAGGTACCCGCTCCCACTTCCGCGGAGTTGTTCTTTCATCTTACCTGTTCCTCTATCCAGCCGGGCGCTGTCTTCCCGGTTTCTGTAATGGCGCTCGGCATGACAGCCGGGTGCCCAGTGCGCATGAGCGAGAAGCACTTGCGCTTTGTGATTGGTCCGGCGGCTTCTGGGATCTGTCATGTGTCCCAGGTGCCGCCTTACCATTCACAAAAAGCACCGCTTCTTGCGCATGCGCACTTGGCACCCGACTGTCATGCCCACACTACAGAAGCCGGGAAGACAGCGCGCCGCTGGATAGAGGAACAGGTAAGATGAAAGAACAACTCCACGGAAGTGGGAGCGGGTACCTGTCAAATTCAGGTACCCGCTCCCCCTCCCTCCCCAAAGGTCAGCAGTCATCTCTATAAGGTCCCGCTGTAGAGCTGAGCGGCCGGCCCGGTATTCTGACACGGCGCCGATGGAAATACCGGACCGGCCGCTCCATATTCGCTCCATAAGACGCACTGACATTTTCCCCCCTTTTTTGGGGGGAAAAAAGTGCGTCTTATAGAGCGAAAAATACGGTAAGTGGTGATCTGTTTAAATATCCAATTTGCACACACAGAGAACTGTGCTTGTAAATGTACATTATAATACATAAGGTATAAGAGAGATAATTATTAATATTATTATTATTATTATACAGAATTTATATAGCGGCAATAGTTTGCTCAGCACTTTACAATATAATGGGAGACAATACAGCAACAATACAGTTCAATACAAGAGGGATTTGAGGGCCCTGCTCCTTGGAGCTTACAATCTAAGAGGGAGGGGATAGTGGTACAAAAGGTAATAACTCTGGGGGGTGGACTGGTAGGAGGAGTAGAAGATTCCATTATTAGCTGAGGGCAGGATAGGCTTCCCTGAAGAGATAGGTTTTCAGAGATCGCCTAAAAGTGAGCAGAGTAGGCGATAGTCTGATAAATTGGGGTAGAGAGTTCCAGAGGATGGGGGAAGCTCTGGAGAAGTCCTGGAGATGAACATGTGAGGAGGAGACAAGGGAACTAGAGAGCAGGAGGTTGTGCGAGGAACGGAGAGTAAGGTTTGGGTGATATTTAGAGACAAGATCATTGATGTAATTTGGGGCAGAGTTATAAATGGCTTTATATGTTATTGTTAATGTTTTGAATTTTATCCGTTGGGCAATGGGAAGCCAGTGGAGGGATTGGCAGAGAGGGGTGGCAGATACAGAATGGTTAGTAAGGTGGATAAGTCTGGCAGCAGCATTCATGATAGACTGAAGAGGGGATAGCCTGTGATGAGTTGGCCAATGAGGAGGGAGTTATAATAGTCAAGGCGAGATATAACAAGGGAGTGAATAAGTTGCTTAGTGGTTTCCGAGATTAGGAACGGGTGTATCTTGGAGATGTTGTGGAGGTGAAGTCTACAAGATTTGGACAGCGATTGGATTTGGGGCTGAAAGGACAGATGGGAGTCTAGGATTACACCTAGTACCCTGGCATGAGGGGAGGAACTGATGGTTGTATTATTGATCTTGATGGAAAAGTCAGGGGAGGGGGCACGGGCTGTGGGGAATACTAGGAACTCAGTTTCTGAAAGATTGAGTTTGAGGAAGTGGAGTGACATCCATGCCAATATGTCACTCAGTAGGTTAGTAATGTGAGAGGAGACTGAAGGGGTGAGGAGTAGAAAGATAGATTTCTGTGTCATCAGCATAGAGATGGTACTTAAAGCCATTGGAGTTTATCAAGTGACCAAGGGAGGAGGTGTAGATGGAGAAGAGTAGGGGTCCAAGGACAGAACCTTGAGGGACCCCTACAGAAAGAGGGAGTGGAGAGGAGGAGCCAGAGTTATAGGTAACACTGAAGGGACGCTGCGATAGGTAGGAGGAGAACCAGAAGAGAGCAGAGTCTCAGAGGCCAAGAGAGTGGAGTTTTTTGAGGAGGAGCAGATGGTCAACAGTATCAAAAGCCGCAGAGAGGTCAAGTAGTAAGAGTATCAACAATGGCAGCTTACATGCATCTCTTAAAGTTACAGTTAGTTACATAGTAACAGTTAGTCTGGCTGAAAAAAGTCCATCCAGTTCAACCATAAAGAGAAAAAGAAAAGTTATAATAATCCTATACCCACAATTGATCCAGAGGTAGGCAAAAAAACCCAGCAAAGCATGATCCAATTTGCTCCTGCTGGGAAAACAATTCCTTCCTGATCCCCCGAGAGGCAATCAGATATTCCGTGGATCAACTTTACCTATAAATGTTAGTATCCAGTTACATTCTGTGTATCTGTAGGAGGTTTTCTTTATAAATAGAACTGTGAAACCCAATCCACAATCTGCAGTATCTATTCTCACCACAAGATGGAGATATGATACGTAGGGAAGGTGTATCAGAGCCATACATACAAAGTACAGTGTGCAGTCTCAGCTGTCCTGAGTGCATTCCTTTCCTTAATCATTGTACAAGTCCAGGTTAACCTAAACTAAGGTTAACTTACCCCTCAGGCCTCTTGAGCTAAACTGAACCTACCACAGCCCCATATCCACCTCTGCCGCACAGTCACGATCCAGTCCACGGTTTACATCCCCAGGTGGTGAAATTCTCTTAAGCACTGGCTGCTTGACTTGAAAGGAGCCAAATGTCCTCTTGAAGAAAAAATCCTTTTCGAGCACTTCTTGTTTACATGTAACAATCTTTTTTTTTATTGCTAGAAAATTTCCTAGAACCCCCAAACATTATATATTTTATTTAAGCAGAGAATAAATTGGTGGGTGTGGCAATTTTTGATGTCACGCAGTATTTGAACAGCCCTTTTGCTATTTTTTTGCCTATAATCCAAAAAACACAATACATAACCCAATTTCTTGGTAAAATATAAAAGATAATGTTACGCTGAGTAAATAGATACCAAACATATCATGCTTTAAAAATGCATGCACCCGTGCAACGGTGACAAACGACATAAATTTTACTATCCATAGGTAACACTTTAAAAGCCTTTACAGGTTTCCACTTTAGATTTACAAAGAGGGTCTGGCGCTAGAATTACTGAATGTGATCTGACGTTTGCGGTGATACCTCACATGTGTGGGATGATAGCTGCTTGTGTGCGTGCAGGATTGACGTGTACGTTTGCTTTTGCACGTGAGCATGGGGGCACCTTAAACAAATTTTTTTTTACACTGTATATTTTAAAAAAATGTTTTTGATCACTTTTATTGCTGTCACAAGGAATGTAAACATCCCTTGTGATATCAATAGGCAGTGACAGGTACTCTTTATGGAGATATCTGGGGTCTATAAGACCCCCAGATCCTTCCTCTGCTCTTAAAAGCACTTGATTACATAAAGATCGTGTGATCAAATGCTTTCCATGTTTAAAAATGGTGCCGAGTAAACTGGAAGTGATGTAAGATCATTGCTACTGGTTCCCCATATTATAGAGGTGAACAGCGTGGTTCCGGGCTTTCTTTGCTTCTATGATCAGCCAGCAGAAGTGCCAGCTGATCGATCGGGTGTCCTGCTGGGACTGGATAGCCCCTTAAAGCAGCGAAAGGCAGTGGGGGGCATGTCCTCTCCTGCTGCTTGTAAAAGCAATCCAGCGGCCAGTTAGTTGCTAGGATTGCTTTAACAAGAGAGCAAGCTGTCAGCTTTAAAAAAACGGTACGGGGATGAAGCCTGCAGCTGTGGGCATCATCCTTTTATAACCACTTGAAGTCCAGTAATGTATGGGTACATTGCCAGATGTGAAGTGGATATTGAGCATCTCCATTTGCAGGGTTTGACCTCATTCAAGTCAAAGGGGAATCAGTGCACAGGTGCAGAATTTCATTGAAAAGGGTTTAATAACCAGACCTAGCCATGGAGGTAAGTGAGAGATGGGAGTTGGTTAGTCCAGTTGATATTGGAGGGTGGGGCTATCTAGAGCAATGTTTCTCAACTAGGGTGCCATTTGGGTTCCCAGAGGGTGCTACAAGCACAAGACCCAGTTTGCCCTGGAACAGAGACGGATGACCGGACTCTGATGTGATGGGGAAACTCTATCATAGGGGTACTCTGATGTGATGGGGGCTCTCATATACAGCAGGACTCTGATGTGATAGGGGGCTTCTGATATGAAGGGGCTTCTTATATGAAGTTAAAGCGGAACTTCACTCTCTCAATCAACATGGACTAGTTTTAATCCTTATGCTGATAAACTTTCTAAATAGATAGGAAAGTATGTCATATTTACTTGTTTTAAATCGTTTTTTTTTTTACATTTCTTTAGTTACTTCCTAATTCCCAGGCTTAGGCAAATGATGTTATACTTCCCAGGAGTCTTCGGGAGGGGAGGAGGGTTTTTTTTTTTTTACATTTCTTTAGTTACACCCTAATTCCCAGGCTTAGGCAAATGATGTCATACGTCCCAGGAGTCTTCAGGAGGGGTTTTTTTTTTACATTTCTTTCGTTACTTTCTAATTCCCAGGCTTAGGCAAATGATGTCATACTTCCCAGGAGTCTTCAGGAGGGGAGGAGGGGTTTTTTATTTTACATTTCTTTAGTTACTTCCTAATTCCCAGGCTTAGGCAAATGATGTCATACGTCCCAGAAGTCTTCAGGAGGGGAGGAGGGGTTTTCTCAGCTAAGCACACCCTCCTGTCTGCATGCCTGAGCTAAAGGCAAATGGATTCCAGGAAGGAAATGCTACATGAATCATCTGTCCTCACTCAAGATGGTCATGGCTAGAAATGCTAGGGGGTGTTTTTCTGGGCGATTTCTCAGCAAAATAAAGCATGGAGACATGGATGGATGGGGGAGTCTGCTTTGAATATTAAAAATGAATGAAATAGTGCTTTTGGTTTGTGGTGCTCAGATACAGTGTAGTTCCACTTTAATTTCATCAAGGTGGTTGTTTGCATCATCCCAGGCTAATATATAAATTTTACATTTTAGACTGGGGTGCCTCCAGATTTTGCATAATTTTAAATGATTCCGCAACTGAACAGGAGTTAAGGAACAGATCTAGAGGTGTAAGAGGGTGACAACGCCGTCTGTACTGCATTGAAATCGCATAGCACTTAGGTCACTCAGTGGGCAGAGCAGTCTTGGATGGACATATACGAGGGGCGTTCAAGTCAAACTGGGACTTTTTATCTTTCAGGTATAAAAAGGATACTACACTTAGTAGTAAGTGGCAAGTGTGTCCTATTACTGACAGGTGGTGCACATGACACAGGCCAGTCCAGAGACCAGTAATCAAGATGACAGACAACAGTGTTAGTGTGTGCATGGAACAGCATGTGATGATGAAGTTTCTGAGCAAAGGCGTAAAACCCTTTGGCGTAAAGGCGTAAAACCCAAAGAACGGGGATGAGAAACTCAGCCGCAGTAAGACATCTGAATGGTGTAAATGTTTCAAAGATGGCTGTACGGCCATCAGTAACGATCCCAGCCATGGTGGTTCCCAGCCCACAGCAGTCATTCCTGTGAACATTCAGTGTGTGGAATGCCTGATCCTGGATAATAGATGCATAACCTGTCGTGAAATTGCACAAGAGACGATTCTTTCTGTAGCCATGGTGAACACAATAATTCACGAACATTTGCATTTTTGAAAAGTTAGCGCACGCCAAGTTGCTGTAATGTGCATGTAGTGTGGTGAGTGGTATGAGCTCCTGCGTTGTCCTGGAGAAACAGGGTGCCTTTAGTGATCAAAGCAGACAGTTCAGACTTCAACTCTTCAGTGCCGGTCAAAAGCAGAAAACGTTCTTATTCAGTAACAAAATTAAACAGTCTAGAACCCCCATCAGATTTTTAGTTCTGACTGTGTCCCTGTTGTAGAGTTCCTCTTACTTCCTATCTGGTGAAATCACTGTCTGTAGAACTAGAAGTTGGAGGAAATCTCTCTAATGGAATCCCAGAAACCAGAGTTCTAAAAACCACCAAAAAACATTTTTGGATTGGCATAAGCTTTGAGGCCCAATTACATTTGTGCAGTGTGTTAATGTACGCCTTAAAGTGTTACTAAACCCCGGACCCTGCATTCACTATATCTGGTCTCCCACAGTACACACAACATGGAAATGCAATTATTTTAGTAAATATAAACTGCTAAATACCTTTTCTCATCAGCGGTTAGAGCAATCTTGTGACTTCTATCAGTGTCTAGCTTGTAGGAGGAGTTTTCATTCTCCCCTGATGTCCAATGAGGCTGCAGGACCCCTGACCTCTCTCTGGATAGTGCTGATTGGCCCTGTGCTGATCACATTCACACTCCCAAGAAAAAAAAACTCTCTAGCAATACACACCAAACTGAGCATGTGTAAGCTTGCCCCTAAGGCTCTGTTCTATCAGCAGATGGATTGGGGACCTTGGAAAAAGGGGAGGATCAGAGAAGTCAGGATCAAACATCTTTTTTTACACAATGTGGAGGATTAACCCCTTAGGTTCCACAGTGCGTATAACAAGCATGATTTACTGCATAAACAGACTGATTTTACTATTGTGGGTTTAGTAACACATTAATAACTTTTTGCATTATAACTATGGTGCATTGCAATGCGTTTTGGCATGCTGAAACACATGTGCAGTGCCTTGGTGGGTTAGGGTGTTGTTCCAAATGAATGTCATGGAAACACATATAACATGGAACAGGGATGAGACAGGGATAAATGGGTCTCTAATGTCACATGTGCCTGACCCTGCGGTGTCTTTGATTGGTAGGTGATGGATCTTTATGGGGTGACTCCGCTGGGCTCTTTAATGCAGCTATCTCCTGTTTGCCACCTTTCAGTCACTCTTGCCTGGGACTGGTGTGTGTAGGATCTATAGATTACATCTGCTATATAATAGATCTACTGTTCTACATAAAGAATCCTTTCCTACCTTCTTCTTCCCTTTCCTGCGTCTCTACAATGAAAAAAAGAGGAAACTGATGAAATCCTGGAGGACATGGTATGGAGGTCATGAACAAATGTCACTGAAGTTTGCTATGGAATAGAATACACACCATGGTATAGGGAGCCGCCATACACCAGGTAGAAGTACATCCGATCACTAAAATCTCATATCATCTTTAATACAGAACAAAACCCTCCAAACCTTTCCCGCCAAGAAGGCTGCCATCCTGGCCTCTGATCTGCAGCTGCCATTGTGCTGCACATGTGATCAGTTATGGCTCCAGCCATTTGACGGTTTGGCAGTTTGGTTAGGAGCACAAGCAACTGTCACTGCATGTCTGTTTTAGGAAGCCGTTAAAGCGATGGGTTCAGTTCTGCTTTAACTTGCTAATGTCATTTTCAACCTGTAAAAAACCTCAGCCTCTATTAAAATAATAATTTGGTTTTTGATAGTTGGCTAACTGGCTGGCAGTTTGAACTGGCTTTCTTATCCCCCTCTTTTGATAAATTATACTTATCCATGTTCCTTGCCGACAATAGCCATTATTAGACTGGGGTAGGCTGGCAAGTTGAACTGGATAGTCCTATTTTTTACTTTGTGACGCCTTCCATGTTCACTGTTTATAAAGCCAGTTATAGACCTGGGTAGGTGACCAGTTTTTTTTTTTTTTTTTTCTTTGTCTATTAAAATAATCCCTGGTGATCCTGTCCTAAAGATCCTTGTGCAGGCACTTCCTGTTATGGGGTGACAACACTTTATCCTAGTCTCCAAATTGTGGTCCTGCGTTGTCACCCTGCCACACAGGCGTCTGATTTAAGACTGCAAATGGCTGCTTCAACAAACATTACACAGACATGGTCTACCACTGTTGCCATCAGGAAACCTACCCTGAGAAATGCCATTGCTGAAGTGCATCTACACAGGAAGTGGCTGTAAAGAGGCTGCAGGAGAACAGCAACACTGAGATGCAAGGAAAAATAAGGTGGTGTTGATGGAGGAGGTGGGGGGTGAGGTTTTGGGGTTGAGAAGGTCCTGTATGGTGGTCGGGATGGAAGTGATGTGGGGGTCGGTGTAGTTGGGGTGGAGGTCACACGCTGGTCCCCATACTGTCACCTATAACGATTATTTTCCATAACGATCGGTATTTTCAGCAGTGCCAGTCAAACAGAGCTGCCGTTAATGATCGTTACGGTAAATATCACACACGATTCATTCCGGGGATCTCTCACCATTCTGCTTCTTTCTGCCGGCGCGGCGTCTCTGGCTGTCATGGAGACGCGGGGGCGGGCTGACGATGTCATCACGCAGCGCCGTGTTGTTGCCGGAAGTGTTGAGTGGAGGTCACAGGAGAGAGGGGTGAGTGAAATCCTGATATATTCCTCTCTGTATACCGCCCTACCCGGGCTACACAGTCTATAGCCGCCGTAGTGGACCCTCTGCAATACAAAGCTGAACCCTGACCTCGTACTATGCATAGAACACCCTCCTGTCTCTGCTGTGATGTATAGACCAACCTACTTGCTGTGTACAATCTTTACTAGCCCTCCTGTACCTATAGAATACATAGTGACATCTAGAGTACATGAGACACCCTCCCTGCTGTACCTATAGAATACATGGTGACATCTAGAGTACATGAGACACCCTCCCTGCTGTACCTATAGAATACATAGGTTCCTCTAGAGTACATGAGACACCCTCCCTCCTGTACCTATAGAATACATAGGTACCTCTAGAGTACATGAGACACCCTCCCTGCTGTACCTATAGAATACATAGGTTCCTCTAGAGTACATGAGACACCCTCCCTCCTGTACCTATAGAATACATAGGTACCTCTAGAGTACATGAGACACCCTTCCCTCCTGTACTTTAGAATACATGGGTCACTCTCCTGCCCTATAGAATGCATAGGCCAGCCTTCTACCCTTATAAATAACACTGGCTACCCTTCTGGATGTATAGTTTACTCATGAACTTATAGAATACATAATTAACCCTCCTGCACCTATAGAATACATAATTAACCCTCCTGCACCTATAAAATACAGAGGTCACCTTTATGTACTTATAGAATACATAATTAACCCTCCTGCACCTATAGAATACAGAGGTCACCTTTATGTACTTATATAATACATGATTAACCCTCCTGCACCTATAGAATACAGAGGTCACCTTTATGTACTTATATAATACATGATTAACCCTCCTGCACCTATAGAATACAGAGGTCACCTTTATGTACTTTTAGAATACACAGGGCAACTTTATTTACCTATAGACCAAACAGGCCACCTGTATGTACCCATAGAATACATAGATCACCCTTTTGTACCCATAGATTTCATAAGTTTCTTTCCTGTACCTATAGAATACATACAGGGGTTGGACAAAAATATGGAAACACTACATGATTTACAGGTGTGAAAGTGACGCCATGTTTCACATTAAAGTAGAAGTGATGTAACATTGTTTTGCTTCCACTGTGTGATGAGACTCTAAACTAACAGGTGGGAAGACTCACTTTCATCATTCACTGCTAGTAATATGGAGTCATGTCAGAGCGTACTGAGCTTCAAAGAGGGCAAATTGTTGGTGCCGCTTAGCTGGTGCCTCTGTGACTGAAGTTACCAGTTTATTTGCCGTGTCGCAAGGTACAGTATCAGAGGTTATGACGTCATATAGTTTCCAGGAAACCGTCATCTGATAAGCATATGCGTGGTCGGTTGACTGAAAGAGACAAAAGGAAATTGCGCAGGATTGTGACCCGGAATAAGAGAACAAGTGCTGCAAAAGTGACTGCAGAGCTCAGTCTCAGTCTTCCAAAGCCCAGGTCCATAAAAACTGTGTGGAGGGAACTCCATAAGCAAAACATTCACAGGTGAGCTGCAATTGCCAAACCACTAGTGACTGATATTAATGCTCAGGAAAAGGAGAGAGTGGTACAACACGCATAAATCATGGACTATAGATCAATGGAAGACAGTAGTATGGTCCGATGAATCATGAATACCACTGTTCAAAACCACCGTGTTTATGTGGCAAACACCATCCCAAGCTTACGACCACAACTGTTTTGTGCCAAAGGTAAAACATGGTGGCGGTTCAATCATGGTTGGGCAGCCATATCTTGGTATTCTGAAGGCCTCATCATCACCTTGAAAGGTAGAGTCACTGCTAGCGACTGTGTGCAAATTTTGGCCAATCGTGCAACCTATGTTGCAGACATTGTTTCCCGAAGACAGCACCATTTACCAAGACGATAATGCTCCGATTCATGCGGCTGGTGTTGTCAAAACATGGTTTGATGAGCAAGCAGATGAAGTCTCACACCTTTCTAGGGCTCCGCAGTCGCCAGACCTCAATATCACAGAGCCACTATGGTCAATTTTGAAGAACAAGGTTCAGGCTCATTTTCTGCCTCCAGCATCTCTGCGCAAACTGGAATGATTTTTGCATGAAGAGTGGTATCAGATTCCATTATCCACCATCAAAGACTTTTATTTGTCATTTCCTGGGAGAATTCAGGTTGTCTTGGATGCCAAAGGCAGTCCTACACCATATTAGATAACACATTTGTTATGTTACTTGTTTCCATAATTTTGTCCAACCCCTGTAGATCACCCTTTTGTACCCATGGATTACATAGGTTTCTGTCCTGTACCTATATAATACATAGATCACCCTTATGAACTGGAGATTGCTTAGGGTAAACTTTTATCTATAGATTCATATGCCATCCAAGTGCAGTGTGATTTCAGCCCATTCTCATGAATGGGCTGAAATTGCACCAGACAACAGCAAAAGTAGTGCACATGCTGCTTTATGCACAGTAACTGGATCACATGGTACTGTGGCTGCTTTCACACTGATGCATTTTTGCTGCGTTTTTACCATGCTAAGAATTTAGCAAAAACGCAATCCTTTAAATCCTGTGGGACTCTGGACACCACTGCGCTTTTGGGTGCAGTGTGTTTTGAAAAGTCCTTGCTGCATATTTGGTGCAGTTCTCAAAACTGCGCTAAAATGCAGGTTCCCATTCAAATGAATAGAAAATGTATAAATAACGCATCAAAAACACACCTGTGTTGCATTTTTGTTTTTTTAAATCAGATATCCAGGTTTTACAGGTGCATGCTGGGTAGAAGCCACCCAGAAAACACACCAGAAAGACAGCAAAAATGCATATGCGTTTTTACTTTGTTTTTGCGTTGGAGCAGTATGAAAGCAACTGTTCAATGCAATCTGGTGCAGGCAGACGCACTGTGTTTGCGGCCTGCATTTGGGGTGTCATTAATTTAACATTGACACCCGCTGCAGATCACAACTGCAGTGCATTTTGACCGTGGTGCCAGAAACATGTAAGGAACGTGGGGTTTTCCCACACCACGTTCTGGTGTGAACTGGACCTTATATAGCGTAGAAGGCTTAGAACCTTAAAGTGATATTAAAGGTATTTTTAACAAAATGATAAACATGTCATACTTACCTGCTCTGTGTGATGGCTTTGCACAGAGCAGCCCCGATTCTCCTCTTCTTGGATCTCCCACTGGCGCTCCTGACTCTTCTTCACTGAGTGCCCCCATAGCAAACCGCTTGCTATGGAGGCACTTGAGCGTGCTTGCTCCTGAGCCCCTCTCTGTGTGTGCAAACAGAGCCCCACCCCCTGCTCCCTTCTCACATTCTGTGATTGACAGCAGCGGGAGCCCGTTGCTCAGCCAATGACGAGGCAGAGCTCTTGTGCACATCATTGGATCGTGATTGGACTTGAGTAAGTATTAGGTGGAGAGCTACACACTGAAGGTTTTTACCTCCATGCATAGAGTGCAAACCTTCATCCCTTAGAACGACTTCAACCAATTTTGTATTGTATGTGTGTCCCCATAGGAGAGGTGTATCTTCACTTCCTGCCCCGATGATAGCATGTCATAGAGAAAGGAAGTGATATCTCTGAGAACGAAAACAAATTCCAAATTAACATATGTGCCTGCAAAGTAGAGAATTCCTACCTCTCCTGCTGCCCATGTCATTGAATGTTGCTCCCTTATTGGGAAATAAGCACTTCCAGGAATGTTGATCTCTGGTGTCTTCAGCTGACCTCCATCTCACTACTGGTTTTTGTACTGTTGGGAAGGTCAGCAGGTGAAACTCAGACGATCAGAATTCTCAGAAGTTTGGTGTCTTGTCCAGTGAGGATTATGTAAAAGAAAATAAACTGTGTGAAGGCATGGTGAATTACAAACACAGGCCACACTGATGATTTCTGCATTTTCATAACATTTTATTGATCTGGATGTGCACACTGGAAGAACTGCATGGGACCTCCCCCACTAAAATGTTCTCTTGATCTAAGTGCATCTCTACATGTCCCTGCAGGGCTTTCAGTGTGCACATATGAAGCAATAATGTTTTGTGAAAATGCTGACTCATCTCTGTGATTTAGTCTTTTAAGGGAAGTGTGGATGAGATTCATCCTGCCTGCACCTGTTCTCCTTGGACACCGGCATGCTGTGTAAGCTTGTGAGTGGTGATTCCTTCTGTCTCCCTACTGTGTGTGCATCCATGCTAGTATTCATACAGATGCATCTCTCTGTTTATAATTTCAGTAAAGGTGCCTTCTGGACCATGCATTGAGTGCCGTGGTCATCCTTGGCTGAGGTCATGGCCAATCCTCTGAGGGGAGAGGTAGTGAAGCTCTATAAGAATGTAAGTATAGCTGCTCTTCTGCCTCTATAATGGAGTTGGCTGTTGTCTCTTCATCATATTCTTTATTACTATGCAGCTTTTATACCTCGGACGAGAGTATCCAAAGGGGGAAATCTACTTCAAGGAGCGCCTGAAAAGGGCCTTCATAAAGAATAAAGATGTCACCGACCCCGAGCAGATTAAAGAACTAATTGCCAGAGGTGAATTTGTTGTTAAAGAGATCGAAGCTCTATATTATCTGAGAAAGTATCGAGCCATGAAACAGCGCTACTACGAGGACAGCCCCAAGTGACTGCTTCTTTATGTCCAGATTATCACTGGCAAAACACAACATAGCAAAGGAGGATTCCTCTCAATCTCTATTAACATTTTGCAAGTTGATTTTTACCTGAGGAAGACATGACACCAATAATTTTTTAAACCATCTGTTTGACCTTACTAAATATTTCAGTGTTTGGTGGATGCAGGAGATTGAAAATAGATGTAAACCCAATCTGTAAATTCCTGTATAAGCTTTAACATACTATTGTCATTTCAGAAGTCATTGTCAATCTTTTAAAATCTGCAGCTTTTATTAAAATAATCCCTGGTGATCCTGAAATGAAGGTTCTTGTTATGGCATTTTGTGTTATAGAGTGACAGTGCTCTGTCTCCGTCTCCCAGTTGTGCTCCTGCATTGTTACCCTGTCACACAGACCTCCAGTGACAAGTGACAATTTCCATGCAATACACAAGCATGGTCCACTCTTATCACCATCAGAAAACCTGCTCTGAGAAATGCCAAGTAGCCACCACCAAAGTGAATGTGGACAGGAAGTGGCTGTAAAGAGGCTGCAGGAGATCAACGGCACTAAGATGAAGTCTGAGACAGGCCTGACCACCTGCTGTGTCCATTATAATGGGTTCCCACCATCTGTGTGCAATGAGTTACCGGGTTTGTACAATTGATATGCCCATTATGAGGGGTTCCTGCCACTATCCCTGATGAGTTTTGTTTACATTACATAGCATGTAACAGGAGTGGGGACAGCCCAAAATGAGCAGGAAAAAAAGCCAAGAATTATGGCAGGGAGATCGTAATACTGAATTTCCCAAGAAATATTAGAAGATATAGACTTAGCCCATCAGATTCTATCTATAACTGGAAGAGTACTTAGGGGTAGACAGAGAGCTGAATAGATATAACACTCTTCCAGTTAGAGCTGAACAGATATAACCCTCTTCCAGGTGTTCTGTGTGTAGGGGACACATCTGGATGTGGAAATCTGTGATCACAAGTGCCTTTCACACCAGTTTTTATATTTGGAAATATCTGTTTTTATATTTAAAAAATCTAATTTGACAATACTGTATAATAAAGTGACAAAGAAAAGCCATCTATATTATTAATGGCAAATAATGATTTAAGGAAACCACAAACTTCAGTCAGCTTACATTGAAGATGAAGCTTAATCTGCTTATATTTTAACTTCCCTGGTTCCTTCCACAGCCCCATCAACATGCTAATGACATTTTTAAATAAACATTTCCATTTTCATGACATACCTTATTTTATACCCAATGTCATCATCATTGAGTCTTTGTGCTTCTCTCTGCAATGCAGGCAGATCATGGCTCTAGGGAGGAGCCAGCAGGGTTCCTGAAAACAGAACACCCGCCTCTGTACTCCTCTCAAGAGCCCTCAGTCCTGATGCAAGCTGTGGCCTGGCACTTGGGAGGAATTATCCAAATATCAAAATGCCTTAATGGGTTTGTGTCAGCTTGGAGGAGTGGGTGTTCCTGGGCAGAATGTACTGGTACTAGTAAAAAGAAATGAGGATTTTTGGTTTATCTGTAAAATCTTTTCCTTGGAGTACACAGTGGAGTTAATAGTCATTACTACTGGGTTATGCTGAAACTGTCAAGTGAATGAACACAGTCAGAAAATAGGCAGTCCCCACCAAGGCATAACTCCTCCCAGCTTAGCTAAGCCTCAGTTTTGTAGAAAGCAATGAGGAAACTCATGCCAGAGGGGATGGATCTCTGTGGCCTGTGATGTACTTCAAGAAAAGGATTTCACTTGTTTTCTCGGTTTGCCAGTTCTATAGCTTCTACTCATGGGTTATTCGGTACCTCATTGAGGATTCTTGGGAGTCATTTTGGTTGGGCATCCACTTCTAGGAAGAGTAGCCACAGTACTAAACTGTCTCCATGTATTAACGGTTTGTCTAACTGTTGGATGCCCAGAGACTTTGAGATTCCTTTGTATTTTTTTCCAGCCTTATGCAGATCAACTACTCTTGATCATATTTCCTCAGAGAGCTACTTTGTGTGAGGCATGGTTCACATCAGCTGATGCTTCTTATGGATAGCAATCCTAAAATGTTTGAATGTCTTTTTATCAAAGTAGTTCTAAACCACACCCCCAAACTCATTTCATTAATTAGACTCCAGGTGTGCAAACTGCTGACTCAAATGAGCTTTCGTTGAAGTAATTATTCTATGGGATCACTTACTTTTTCCTCCAGCACTGTGAATATTTAATGGATGTGTTCAATAAATATACAAGAAATTAGAGTAGTGTGTTAGCAGCTTAAGCTCATTGTGTTTGTCTATTGTTGTGATTTAGATGAGGATCAGATCAATTTTACAGCAAATTATTGCAGAAAACTAGTTAATTTCAAGGGGTTCACATCCTTTTTTCCTGCCACTGTATATGGGATAGTCATTACTACTATTTTGGGATGTTCTGAACAGTCATTGCTATAAGATGCAACAAGGCCATCAAGCCCAATCTTAAAACAAAAAAGGGGTACCCCCTTATAAAGCTGTGTGCAAGTCCTTCATCCTGAAACTGGCATTAGCAGAGGCAAAAACAACCTGGTAGAACTTTGTAAACGTGTGATAAAAAGACTCAAGCTATAACATTGTGCCACAGAAGCTGAATAACCCAAGAAGCACTGTCACTTAGTTACATAGTTAGTCTGGCTGAAAAAAGACAAAAGTCCATCCAGTTCAACCATTAAGTATAAAAAAAAAAGTTATAAAAAAGAAGTTCTACTTCTCTTGGAAAGTTCTACTTCTCTTGACCGAAAAGGGAGGAACCTTTCCTTTGGTCACATAGGCCTGAGGAATGAGCTGAAAAATCCACCTAGAAATAGTGAATTTAGAAGCAGCCTGACCCTTACGAGATCTTTCAGGTAGAACAAACATGTAATCAGACTGTTGAAACATAGTTGTAGATTTTAGATAAATTCAAACAATCTGAATAACAAATGTGAAGCACCTTCTCTTTAGGATGAGAAAACCTGCCTGCCAATTTTCCACGCTGGGAATGTGAACAGCGGAGATGAGGGGAATGTAAAGTTCTGCCCAAGATAAGTTTAGGTAAGCTTCTTCTTGAGCAGCATAACTTCTTAATTCTTGATGGTATAAACCATCCTTGATGGTATGCAGTGGCATTGTCTGACTGTACCCTCTACGGGAGACCCTGAACACAAGAAGACCAGTGTACGAGGGACAGCCAAATGACCCGAAGTTCCAGGATATTGATTGGTAACATCCAATGCTCTGACATTCTCTGAATCAACACTATCTGTAGAACATCTCCCTATCCTGACAGGCTGGCATCTATTCCCAAGATGTTCCACTTGATTGGAAGGAAGCATCCAGCATCAATGCGGGTATCAACCATTCCATAGCCACTCTGGTCTTGACAGTCAAATGCATTGGCTGATCCAAAGACTCCCGACACTTGTTCCATGCAGGATATAGAGCTGCAGAACTCTGGAGTAAATCTGTGCATAAGGGACCACCTCAAAAGTGGATAACATCTTACCTAGAACTCTCATGCATGTCTGGATTGAGGGACCTTACAGTGTCTGTAGGGACTCCACCTGGCTCATACAGGCATTTTTTCTGCAGAAGCAGTACCTTTGGGGGTGTGTCAGAATTAGATGCGATTGCTCACATATGAGCAAGACGTCCAGGTATCCCACAGTGCGATCCCTCGTGTTCTCAACAACTCAAAACTGCAGCCAACACCTTGGTAAACACCCGTGGGGCCATGGACAAACTGAAGGGTAATACCACACACTGGTTGCGACAATCTTCCACTGCAAAACACAGAAATCACTGGTAGGGCTCAAAAATCAGAACATCATTATAGGCATCCTTGATGTTGGCTGACGCCAACCGAGAAGATTCCATTGTGAATTTTTCTATTTTCAGGAACTTGTTGAGACTCTTGAGGTAGAGAATAGGCTGGATGTCTCCCTTTGGCATGGGAACTCTGAACAGGTTGGAGTAAAAGTCTTGAAATGTCTTCTATATTGGCACAGGTGCAATGACCTCTTGGGACAGTAGTATTTCCAGGGACATAAGGAAAACTACTTTCTTTTGTGGATCTGAAGGCACTTTTGAGTGCAAAAAGCATGAAGGACACCATACTTAGGACCCAGTAGTCTGTGATCTCCTGAATCCAAGTTGCTGAAAATGTGAACAGCAGTATTTTTCTGCTCAGATGAGCAGACTTACTTCCTTCAAGACTGCTTGATTCCTGGTACCCCCTGATGATTGATATAGGGCACTGCAGTGGCATTCTCTGCACCCTCATTGGATGTTCCTGAAGAAGGGGAGTCCAGTGTTGCAAAACCAATTTTATTGCTCTGAGTTCCAAGATGTTGATTGGGAGCTTTGCTTCCCTGTGTAAACCCATAGTTCTGAGATGCCTGTGAACTATAGAAATGCAAACTGTGACAGACATTTCCTGATTCTTAGAAGTGAGGGCACTTCCGCATTGTGAAGAAGGCTTTGGGGTAAACTTGGGGGGTTTTGTGTTGTTTGAAGTCTTGTGTTGCTTTCAAGAAGCTATATTTTGGCCTTGTAGATAAAGCCTAATGAGTATGATAGGCTCAGTGTTTTGAGGAGGTAGAAGCCACTGAAGAAATGAATTTTGGAGCCTTCCACTGTGGAAGAAGGACTTTTCCTACTGTGACATATTTTATGAACTTGTCAAGTGCATCGCCAAAGAGACATCCTCCTTCAAAGTGCATATGAGTGAGATGTCTTATACAGGCAGCTTCCAACTTGACAATGACCCAAAGCACCCAGCAAAACTGACCACACAGTGGTTGCAGGAAAAAAAAAAAAAAATAATGTCCTTGCATTGCCTAGCCAGAGCCCGGACTTAAACCCCATTGAAAATCTGTGGAATGACTACAAGACTGCATTCCTCAAACAGTCACCATCAAATTTAACTGAACTTGAGCAGTTTTACAAAGAAGAGTGGGCAACTGTTCTAAGTTGCACTGA